CAGGGTGAGGTGAAATGTCAAGAAGTTGTGTGTTAATCTTCCAGTAAACTGCCATGTCCCAGAGAAGATGGGGAAAAGGGACAGATCTTTGGGAATATTGGAGGATTATCATAACTGGAGTTTTGCTAATTGCATTTGAAGATCTCTTTGTACAGAGAGATCTCTCTCATGTATAATGGGTGGATGTGGAGTCTAAAAGAAGATACCAGAAATTAAAATCCCTGCCATTATAAATACACCAGGGCAAGTAACCCTACTAGATTTTCTATGAAGCTGCTTAGGCTAAAACTAAGGATTTAGGTGAAGTGTACAGGCCTGTAGAGGTGAGAATGCTGCAGAGGACCCCATCCCCAAGGCTGGGAACACTGTCCTCAGGTAAGGCAATTTGCTTGTCCTGCATAAAACAGGGCATTAATACATATTCCTTTGATCCAGATGGTCGCTAGCCCTTACCACAAATGCTAGCACAAGATGTCAGTTTGGCCAAATTATATAAACAATCTTCTTAAATTATGTGCATTTATTGCTGATTCTCTGGAAATATTAAATGTTTCTCTGAACATACTCTTGTTTTTAAAAAAGCTAATTCTTGCTAATTTAAAAAAATTATGTAGTGAGGTTGATTTATGTTCCTTATTAGAGTAATAATCCATTTGGAGGGTGAGTCAATTCATAGAACTGAAAATCCTGGAGAGAAAAGGTCTTAACTCTTTCCCATGGTAAGCATTTTTTTGGGTTTGACAGTTCTTGTTTGCATTTGTGTGGAGTCATTATTTGGCAGCAAAAATGCAGTGTGGAGGAGTAATACTCTTGGTGTTAACATGCCATTATTTCTTTTACTTTTTCATAGGCAGAACAGTGTAGACCTGTGATATTCAGCATCAGCTGAGTTCATGTACACACCTGTTGTTTTGCATGCATCTGTCCTCCCTGCCAAGTACAATAGTAAAGACACTGTGTATTATTATTTAATAATAATTTTTTTTTGTAGGGGTGTCTATCTTACAAGACTTTGTATGCTTATAACCTTCTGACATTACAGTGAGATTTCAAATGAAGAGACATGAATGTGCATTACAAGTGTGTGATTGCTTGTATCATTATGAAATAGATGAAAAATTAGTTCACTGCAGTACTTTTTATCTGAACTGATCAAAACATCTTCCAGTCATGTTGCTAACAATATGTGATAGGAATAATAACTTCACTTGTTGTTGTGTTCTATGCTGCAGCCGAGAGGCATGTAAATACAAGCTGCTTATTTGCAAGAAGCTTCCAGATTTGCAATATGATTGCTATGGAAACCACACAATGAAAAGCTTATAACCATCTGTGTGGTTTGGTAGATTTTGCTGCATAGCTGAGCTGGTTTTGTTTACTGTAATCAAAGCATTGAATAGAATATATTAACTCACAAACTGGGATTATTCAAGGTGTAATACTAGTATTGTGCAATGACAATGTGTCAGAAACTATAAGGCAATAGAATACGAAATAATAATGCCATTAAATTAGAATCTAATGTAAAAAGATTATTAGGTAACATATTAGTAGAGGAAACTGCTAAATTTATGCATGTTTATCATGGAGATACCACATTCCATTGGAGGAATGCACTGTTCAAGCCAAACTCTTATCCATTTTATACTCAAGTAGTCCAGTCTTTTTTCCTTCCTCCTTTTAATGGATTCATGTAAAAAATGTAGAATTCATTGTTCAGTTTTAAAATTTTGTGGATGGTAGAATCATATGTGATTGGGTGCTTATTCTTCTGTTTTTTTCTTCAAACTGCAAATTGAATAAGTAAATTATTTTCAGCAACTTCCATGGACTAACTGAAAAAAAAGCCTTTAACAAATATAGTTCGTTCCTTGTTGCATTGTCACAAAAATTTTGCTGTTAAGGTCTCTAAGTATCAGCATAGTATGGAACATCATCTGTATCTCAGGGGTTCTTAGGATCTACAGCTCTGGAAGAGTTCATTGGTTTAGTTAGTGTGGATTAGTCTCTTTCTGACATAGTGAGAAGGTGGAAAAGAGTATTTTCTCTCTGCAGTGATAGAGATAGTGTGAAGGAGATATACAGAGGAAAAACTGCAACAGATTATTTTAAAGGCATGCATGACTCCTTATACACAGTATCTTAAAAATACCAGAAGTATTTCTACTGTATTTTTTAATTCAATTTTTAATCTTTTGATTCTGTGCCATGTTGCAACACAAAATTACGCATGTTGCATCAGACTGCAGCTGTAATTCCCAAGGTAATCGAGGTTGCTGTGTTTAAAGGACACCGCCTGCACATAGTTACTGCTTCAGGCCATAATATCAGAAAACACAAGTTAAGAACCACAGGTTCTTTTTTACTACCCTAAGCCAAGACTACTACAACTGCTTCACTCTGAGTATGATTGCATTAGCAAATATCATGAACCATTTGCAACGGATTCATAAAGCTGAGGTTTGTGCCAAGGACCTGATGTTTGTTGTGCATGTTTCAGAGGAGGTTTCCTATGCAGTGACTTCAGCCTGATACCATGGACTGAATGCCCATTAACAGCTGGACCATGTCTAGCATGCTTCTGGAGTGCCTCTTCCAGTCAAATTGTACCTGAAACTTTGTCCTCTCTGTGACAATTCTGTAGTGTAAAGCAAGGTGGGATAAGTGGGGATGGTTGAGATCCAAACCAGTATGCAAATATGGTGAGTTTTTGCTTGAATTTGGCAACTTTTGAAATTCAAAAAGCTTTGATTCAGACATTTTCATATCTTCAGATGTGGATCTGGTCAACTTTTGTTTCTAGGAAATAAATATTTGAGAATAATACATATATTCTAAATATTTTCTGTGAAATCACAATGCAGTCTACATGTATTCAGCAGTACCTTACAAAAAAGTCTCTTCAAACTTCTGCTGCTTCTTTGCTTTAGTTGGGATACCCTCTGCTGCAGTCAGTCCTCAGTTTAAACTAGTCTGATGACTATGACAAGTGATAGAGTTAAAATCCATAGGACATTCAACAGAGCAACTGATTTAGGTCCTAACATTCAGTAATATGTAATATCAACATCTCTTTCATGAAAGAATAATATAATAGCATGTGTGTTGGATGAAGGTGTTTTTTCTGGGAAAAGGGAGAAATTCTAGCAAATGTGACTGATCCTGGAGTACTACTCCCTGTGAGGGGTGTAACCATGGTAGGAAACCCACAGAATGACAGTGCCTCCTAGTGCTCTGGACAGCACATAGGGATGCATTTTTGCCATTTATGCTCCAATTGTGAGTTCTTAAAATAAACAGATGAGCATACTTGGAAATATGTGACAAATGTTAATGCCAAGTAGGGGAATACATTTGAACATCTAAATGTAGAACATAGTTTAGAGTGATTTGTGTGTACTACAGCTTCAGATTTCTCCTGTTCTATTGCTCGCATTTTTTTTCCTGTTCTCTCCCCCCTACCTTGGTTTACAAAATAGTTAATATTAATCTTTACCAGATTTTTAACTAGTCAAGGTTCAAGAAGAAAAGATCTTGCTGGCTTAGTAGGGCAGGATTTCAAAGCTCTTTATAAAGTGAATCCTATGTTGTAATTGTAATATTTGTAGGATTGTGTATAGAGATTAGCAGTAATTATGCATACTAAGTCCAACAGGTCTACTCTTGTGCTTTAAACATCTGCTTTAATGTTTGCAGGAACAGTCTTGTGGATAGATTAAATTTTTAGAAGGTTGAAAAAATCCTTTGAAATTTTGATATAAAATTCACTCTTTGTCGAACTAAATGGGCAATTACATAAGAGTTTCACAATGAGGAATATTTTAAACACTGTGAGTGCTTCATCTGTTGTCTGTCATTAGTAAAATATCCAAATCAGTTGCTGAAATGTGTATCTTAAAAAGAAGCTTGACTATATACAATGGGATGAGTAGCAAATACAGAGAGTTGAAATGTATTAAAAGTCCAATTCATGTTTGAGAAGTGGGTTTATCAATACTATTTCCTCATTCAGTACAGCAACCTTGTCAGTTTGATAAACTGTAAATGTCAAGATAAATTTGTTTCTACTTCCTTATGAGCCTAAAGACAGGATTCAGCTAAAAGCTTGTTCCCCTTTTTTGCATCATCAACAGGATTGTTGACTGGGAAATATGAGGAGCAGATCTGGTATCCCTGTACTGGGAAATGTGAGGAGCAGATCTGGTGTCCCTGTACTGAGCAGAGTGTGGATTTACTCAAGTGAGGGTCTGGACACGAGAGAGTTCAATGTCTGTGCCAGACAGGGAGGATGGAGCACATCTTTCAAAGTTGCCTGTGGGGATTTCAGAGTGTTCCAAGCCTGCTAGCCAGAAAACATGCTTTAGAGCTGATCACTGCCAGGTTTTCTCTTTTGTTGTCTCTTAAACTTGCACTAAGTAGTTTGATAGAGTCTGGCTTGCTTAAAACCGTGGTCAGGCACAATGGGCAGGAGCAGTGAAGGGCATGGTATCTGTAGTGGCTGTGTTCCCATCATACAGGTGTTGAGCTACTGTGTCTGTAGGACAGCGTTGAAGGTAAGATGTCGTCTGCCTTCGTTGCATACTGCTCACTGTAACTCAGTTATTTCTTGAGCTTGAGTTATTTCATTTTCACACCTTGGTTTCCTTTTCTTTATCCTTTTCTGGCAATAAATGTATGCAGCAGAAGAGGACCCTCATTCTAATTGTCTCAGAATGACTGAAAATCAGCAGAACTGCAGCTCTATATGACTGCATTCAGACCAGAGTGAAAAGGGAAACAGATGTTCACAACTGAGATTTTGAAAGAAAGCTCTTGGAGTGTTTGGATGGATGGCGGAAACCACAGAAATAACAATGTTCCAATTTCTGTATAAATGCAAAATGGTAAACAAGGCTTACAGTCTGGAAATATAAAGTGTGTTTTTCAGGCTGATGTGGGCTGTAATTCCTGTCAGCTGAGGTGGACCTTCAGAATTTCATTTGCAGTTATGTGTTTTGCAGAAGAACGTCTTTCCTCAAAAGCTGAAGTGCCAAGCAATGAGAGCCAGGAGGAAGTTACCACTGTTTCAGGTAATTAAAACCTTTCCTCTTTATTTTGTGTATGCACTTTCTTTATACCTTTATTTTCTTCTCTCTTCCATTTGGTGTTTTAAAATAATGTTTTTATAGCTCTGTAAAGCTGTCTTTTTTTACCTGGGTATATGATGGCAGCAAAACTGCTTAAGCACCACTTAGGATGCATGAAAACCACTTGAGAAGGATTTATAAAGTAAGCCAATTTATACAAGGTATTCCTTCCTGAATTACTTTGTAATGACTCAATTAGCTTTCATTTCTGCACAAAGGAGATTTAGATGCATAAATTAGCTTATCATCATTGAGGAAGTGTCACTGCTAAAGGACAGTTTATAGATACAACATGCAGTTGCTGTCAAACCTATAAGAATGTAATATAGACATCTGTGTATACTTTGTGCTTGAGCAGAACAGACTTCTGCCATTCAGAGACTAACAGGGGACAACAAGTTGCCCAAGGGACTGGCAATGTAGACGTCTCTGAAAAGGTCAACTTGACACAGGCTCTGACAATCGACCCAAAGCTCTGTCTTCTTTGATAAAAATCAGATAAACTTAAGACCACTAATTGATCTGCAGCCTGTTTAAATGTTGGCCATGCATATCTTCATTGCATATGATTACCAGAGAAAGCAAATGAATCAGGTAAGAAATGCCAGAGTCCAGTGACAGCAGCATAAAAATTGGAAAAGGACACGAATACCCAGAAAGGCTGTGAAGGATATTCTCTCAGCTTTAGCTTGGCAAAGCGCCCCTGTGCTAATTATCTCTGGGACTGGAAAAATAACTGCATGCACCATGTAAAGTCACACAGCCAGGCAACTTTTCTTGATAGAAAGGTATTTCCAGTTATGCTTAAAAACAATATATTTTTGTACTTCAAGGGCACAGACCTTTAGATAAACTATTGGTGATTTGACACAGCAAGTAGAGAAGACTCGCTTCTTATCAGACCTTACACCTTTCTGAGATCTGCTGCATTGTAACTGTGACCTGCACTGACATGCAGTCTGGCTCTCCTTCCCCCATTGTACATAATACACATAATTTTTCAGGGCTGTCAAGGAAGGGGTGGGCAAGAAGAGTTCCTTTAGGAAGTAGCTCTGCAGTGCTCTTCCTGTTGCAACATGTGGAGAGGAAACAGAGGCCTGATTTCCTGACCCATATAGGAAAGCAGGAACAGGTTGCTGTGAGGAGTTTTGGGTTGCTTTTCTTGGAAAGGAAACAAGCGCCAAGCCATCAGATGCTGTTAGCATTGTGCTCTGCTAAAAACATGTGTAAAAAACATGACTCATTACAACCTTAATATTTAGTACTCATTTAGACATTACTGTAATTATAAGTGTATTGTCATAATGGAGCATGGGGTCAATCCAATTATAAAGTTGCCAACAGCATTTTTTTCCCTAATGTACCTTCCTGAAGTTCTAATTGGTCATACTTTTAAAAAACCAAAACCTTAGCATCTGCATTTTTGAAAAAATTTAATTGTTATGGGAACAGCCTTATCAGTCTTATTAGTATTTGTCATTGAAGATACCACAGCAGTTCCCCCCAGATGTCAGGTTCATTTCAAGCAATACTTTTGTGATCTGATCTTACATAGTTCACTATTTAACACTGGAAATTTGTTTGACTTTTAGGGCTGAGTTGACATGAGTATTTCTGATAGGCATCACATCATAAATACCTGACATGACTTGAGAGTATTTTATGATTTTCTACACAAACAGTGCATACATTCTTAAGTTTAATTTATTGCCTACCTTTACTAAACCTGAACTCAGAGAAAATATTGTGCAAATTGTCTGTGAGCTCAAACTGATTAGTGCAAAAATATTTCTTTTTTTCCCCTACTCTTTTCTTGCCCTAACATATTTCTACTTCAATTAACTTTCAGACTCAAGTTCTTTTTATTCTGTTCTACTTGGTGCTGACTCTTGCTGCTGGATAGCTTTGCATTAATTGCTAGGGACCTAGTCATTTAAAAACACCAAAGCACTGAAGAGCTTGAGTTATATAATATGGCTTAATGGGTCTTTTTTGTTATGACTGTCTACCCATTATCATTTCCACAATCACTATTTCAGTGTCTTTTTTTTTTTTTCTTTATCAGTGTAAATGAGTTGATTTTAGGATAACTAAGGAACTGAAGAAGGGGAATGAGAAAGATTAAACCAAACATCTTCAAATAGATTAGAGTTTGAGTCCAAATAAATATCCCACAGTTGTCTTGCCCTTATTTTGTAACTTTTCTGGCCTGTGGGATAAAGGGCAAGTAGGTAACAGGCATTTTCTGAAGTTTAGGACATCATCAGAACAAAAAACTGGATTCTTTAACAGGGTTTGTCTTGTTCAGTGGTTGAGACGTAAAAACGAGAGTCTATATCACTTGTGTGAGACACTCATTCTGGTAGCATTAATTTTGAGCTTCAGCTGTACCTCCATCTTTAAGCCTCCACTTTGGTAAATATTGAGCACATCATTACCAAAAGGGGCTACAGTATGTCTTTTTCAAATGTTGTTAAATAATCTTCAAATCTGATACTATTAACTTTTGAAAAATCTTACCAAGAGTTGAGCAACATGATTTAGCATGGCAAGCTGTTTAATATACTAGGCAAGGAATGTGCAAGCAAATAATAAAACTACTGACTCTAAATCACTACCATAGTAGGGTTTACTAACTTACATGCCACCAATGTTAAAATGGAGGACTGAGGGAAATCAGGCGCAATCGCATTTATCCTAATGTTTTATGTAGTGTATTTTCATATTTAGGTTGTAATTCCTGCTTCTGTTTTGGTCAGTTTAGTGTTCTGTCAGTTTGTACTCAGAAATGGGAATTGTAAAAATCATCACAATGTAGGGGGCAGAAATTAAACACCCTGCAGTTAGATTGCCTTAGGCTGCAGTGGGACAGCACACTTAAATCCTTCTGAAATATGTACTATTAATCTGTTTTTCAAGTTGTGGTGTGGTTTGATTCTTCTTTTCTGTCTATTGTGGTTGTTAGAAGATTATTATAATTTTTCCCCCTTGAGCAATTCATGGGCATTCCTAAGTTTTAAATAGTCCAGTATTTGAGATACATGCTTGAGTGATATATTTTCGATTTTTTTTTTAACCTGAACTGTTCACCTTCTTCAAGCATGTATTGTCAGATACCAGTATTTTTCAGTGAAATAAGCAGTTTGAGACTACTGTCACAGTGGCTGGCAGCCACTCTGAGGTGTTTCCATCTGAATATTGAACAAAAATATCCATTGTTCCTACTACCGTTACTAGAAAAGCAGAGATGGCTGAAGTAAACCATGAGGAATTATTTTTGGAAAAGTATTGATAACTATTGGATAGTAGCTGTTGATAACTATTGGATAGTAGATTTCATCCAGGTAGCTGTCCTGAAATAGAAGAAATATTTTCTGGAGAAACAATCTATCAAAAATCCTATTCACCCACTTCTTGGGATTGGTACTCTTCAAAGCAGTGAGTAGGTAAAATCAAATTGCTTTCTGCCCTCAGCTACACACTTAATGCTTTTTTATTGTGTCTTATTTGTATTTGTGGCCAAGTGACCATACCTCAAAATGCAACACACTTCAGTTTAGCAATTATGTCATCATAGTATTTTTAAGGCATGCGATATTTTGAAGAAAATCACATGCCTTAAAATTCTTGTTTGAGAATACTGTGTAATTGTAACAGAGTAACACCTGCAAATCAATACCTTTTGAATTTGAACTGTAATTACTATATAAGTTCTTGATGCTAAATCCATCTGTTTTCAGGTATTACATGTGTTTAAGAAGCTTCATATTATTTCACTGCCATATAAATACCAAATTCCTTTGCTCAGACATCCTGGTTTTGTTTTATACCATTCTTCAGTGGCAATAAAAGGAAATTTGTCAAGATCTTCTCAAACTGAAAGGGACCAAAGTAAGAATGAGTGGGCTTGTGTTTTGCAGAGGTTTTTGCAGGCTTTTTTTTTTTTTCCCCTTCATTCTACACCTGTGTTTGTAAGCACTATGAATCATTTTATGAAGCCCTTTTCACTTTAGGTGTATAAAGTCTGAAGTTATATTTATAACTGTCTTTTATGTATAGATAGTTACCCTTATAGAATTTGGAGAAGCCTGTGCTGATGGGCATGAGAGGGGATTTCAGATTTGAAATTAACACTTCTTGAAAGACCAGCATAGTTGTTCACAAACTTACACTACCACTTTCTTTCCATGCTTTTTGTTTCTGTGTTCCTCGACTACTGGTATATATTTTTCTGAAAAATGTGGCTTTCTGATTTAAACAACCCTATCTTATGTTGAATTCACAAATGAAGGTACAGAGACATGGTGAGTCTTTGGTCTGTATCTTCACTGTTGCAATAAGCTTGTTTTAAAATGCATCTTTCCAGTGTGTTCACATTATTAATTGAGTTGCTTTTGACTTTAAAACTTAATTAAATGCTCATGATGGACATAAAAGGAGAGAATGTCTTACCCGCTGTTGGGTCTCTTCTGTTGCAACTCACTTTAGTGTTAACAGGAATTACTTGAGGCACATAAAGGTAAGAGCAGAGCTCAAAGTGGTAAAGGTCAGTGTGGAAAGTCATGATTTCTTTCAGTGATGTTCTGAAGAAGTAAAAGTCCTGAGTAATGTGTTTTAAACAAAATCAATAAGCCAACTGATGAAAGACATGAGAGGTGGGATATACCAAAATAGTTATTTTAATTTTTTTCTCATGTGGGCTTATGTTATTGTTTATGACACAAAGTTGGGGCGTGTGATCAGTACAGTAAGAAAAGACCAAGGAGAGATTCTGATTTAATATTTATCACAAATTAATTTTGTGCTAACCTGTATTACTGTTTATAATTGTCTAATGCTAAATTGGTGAATAATGAGGTGAAAAATAGGAAGGGCCAAAATTTGGAGGTGCAACATTTCAAACTGATTATGCCTTCATGTTAAAATGTCTGTGCATTTTGAAATAACCAAATATCTTATTTCTGAATGATTGTGAGCTTTCATGTGGGTATTAATTATTGCTTTTGGGGTGACGACAGACGATTTTGGGCCCTAGCAGCCAGAACGCCCCCTAGTGCTACACAGCGAATCGTAGCTCCTAATCACCAGTTTATGGAAAATTAAATGGTGGATAACTGCCATAGCAGCTTTGAATTGAAGGTTGTGAATATTTAGCCTTATGACAGTATTGCCACTCAAACAAGATAGCACAGAACACAGGCTGAAATGGAGAAAGAGAAAATAAGCTCTTCTTGCTTATACAAAGAATATTAAAATTCAAATCGAAGTATTTGCCAAAATAGAGAACACAAGTTGAATACCCCTATTATTTTATATTGTGATGCTTTCTAGCTCCTGATACTTGATATTTTAGCAGGATTTTTTTGGTAATTAAATGAACCAATCATAGTTAAATTGTAAACTATAAATAATGGTGTAGAGTGCTAATGACATGCAAATGTGTATGTTGGAATAACCAGCAAGCCTGCAGTTCAAGGATCATATAACAAAACTAAGATGACAGCCTTGATCTAGCCAGTTCAGTGATATTTATGTTATCAGAATTAGAAGATAGCTTTCCAGTGATGTAAATTATTAGTACATATACATTCTGTCTGGTTAGTGTATACATAATGTAACCGGTCATCTTAGTGGTATTGCTTACATTCTTTTTGCATTAACTCATCACACTCCATTCTCATGGAATTAAAAACAGGAAATAGTTTGCAGTGCAACAGAAGCACCCAGTGTATTTAACTGTGTGTGAGCGCTGTGTTTCAATAGATGTACTCTGTATTGTAAATGTATGACAAAGCATTTATTACTGTGTTATTGCCGTATTACAGAGCAAAGAGTGCTAAATAATCAATCAGTTAATGGTCTGTATGGCAGCTTGAACACAGCACATCCATTGTGCTTATGCTGTTAGAAGGATGAGTTTATGACTGTAGTGTAGTTGCACGTTTAGCCAGGGCTTAATGTCCTAAACTGGAGCTGACACAAATATTTTTGAAATGCAGCTTCAGCAACAGTTTCCAAGTTCTCCAATATTTCAGAAGGAAGAATCAAGGATTATCTCAGAGATTCTCAGAGAAGCTATTTAATTTTGTTGGAACAGGAGAGAGAGGGGGAGTGTATCACAGAATACTTTAGCTTCCTTTCACTGATAGTTATTAATTATATTCTAGCAGTTTTATCAGTTTCAAGTTGGGATACATATATGGCTTGCTAGAAATATACTGGCAGAGGAAAAATAGCTGCTTTAAGTTGCAGCTTTGAAAAATGCTTTGAAAACCTGTAACTACATGTCTCTCAGTGATGCAACTTGCCACTGAAGGGCTTGCACATTAAATTTATTTTTCACTTGCTTTCATGGCAGGAAGGAGATCTTCTGAAAAGAGGAATAAGAAATGTGTGCTAATAAATTACTTTGTACTATTTGAAGATTTAAAGAGTAACTTTAGTTATCCTCAGTCTTGGTTGTTTTATAATTAGGTGCTGTTTTCTTTGCAGATAGCGAAAATACCGATTATGCCAATTTCTATCAAGGTTTGTGGGACTGCACAGGAGATGAAAGTGATGAGTTGACATTTAAACGTGGTGATGTTATCTACATTATCAGCAAGGTATGAGACACTGCTGGGGCTACATGGTTGTAAAAAGAGCCATGGCACAAGGGCACATTCCCACAGTTCTGTGGGGGGAAATTGGCACTCCCTTTCAGATCCTTTGTCTGCAATCAGATAGCCACTGCAATTAATTATTTTGTCAAATGAACTATAATCACAATTAAAACATAGCCATGTAACAGGAATTAACTTTAAAGCATGTTTATTTACATGTTAGATCTTGGCTACCATTTGTTAACTGACTTAACAGGAGACAATGTACTTTCTGCTTGTAGAAGTTAACCTTGTAGAATTTTAAGTTATCTTGTATGTTATGTTTTTTGTTTCCTGTTTTATATTCCTGACTCTGCTGATTCTGACTTTTTTTGGATCTTTCTACAGAAGATGGTTTGTTTTTTTGAACTATGCTTTCATCTTTGTATGTATATTGTTATTGTTCTGAGAGCTCAGATTCCAAATTTGTTTGCGCTGACAGATTTGGGCATTTTTTACTACATTTCTGTTTGCAGAGCAAATTAGAAATATAATTTCTCTCATCTGAATTGGCATCAAACAGTAAAGCGATGAAGTTTTATTCTATGTTAATGTTGGTTAATTTTCAGATTTTTCCTTGACCTCCCCAACAAAACCAAAACCTCTGTTAAAATATATATCTCATGGTCCATTGAAGTCTACTTCTGAACAATTAATCAGAAGAATTTTGTTTTCCCCACATTTTAGAAAAAAAAAAAAGCTGAGCTTTTAAAGTTCTCAGTGAAAAAAACTATATCAAATATGTGACTATGTAATTGCTGTTCAGTGTAATTAGTACAAAAAAAATTGTAGGTCATTGAAATACACAAGTAGGTGCATGAAAAGTAAAGGCATCTGTTTGTCCTAGTTGCAAATTAAGTTTTGTCACAATTGCTTTAAATCTTCTGTGATACCTTTAACTACATTACTGGATAATAAATGTAACAGCTTCTGTTTTAAATAAATTTAAGATTTATGGATAGAAGGACAGTCCTATATAAAAATATAGAAGATGTATTACTAATATTAATTTGACCATGTATGTCTTTTGAGGTATTTCATTGTCACTTAAACTAATAACTGAATTGAATTACTAAAGGTTGAATAAAGCTTGTGGATTGGGCAAATATTCAAGCAGTTATTCAGCACTGAAGAATTGGACTAATATAAAATAACCACCCCTTTCCCCTCTCGCTCCCCCCAAAAAGCCCAGGAGTGAATGGATTCCACTGTATGAGTTTGGCCTCTTTGTAGGTTGTGCTCTTCACGTACATTATGGCGACTATAAAATCTTAATCTTCAGCTTGTAGGTGAAAAAAATTGTTTGCTACCGCTTCCCCAAAAGAGTGAGAAATTTAAGTTAAAAAATGGAGTAAAATAGAAAAACAGTAGCTTAAGCTGTCCTGTGTATATCAACAGTCCTCTTGCCATGCTGTGATTAATCCATAATCGGTCCTTGAAGCAGGCTTGCTGCTGCTCCAGATATATAGAGCCTCTCTCTGTTGGAATGATTTCTACTCCAAAATACAGCCCAGAAAATTCAGTCCTGTTTCGCTTAAAGATTGTTACAGCTTTTTCAGAAAAATGAGTGTTGGCCACTACTGTCAGCTTGGAATTTAGGGTCCTTGGAGGGGAAAGTGCCAGAGAATTATCTATCTTAACCCTCCACTTGATTCAGTTCCAAGGTCTAATCATTTATGAGCTCTTTGTCTGGTAAGTGAAAATATAACCAAAGGAAAAGTGAGCCTAACTATCCCGAAGTGGGTCAAGACTTTTCTTCTAAAATATTTCCTTATCCACTACATTAATACTTGGATTTTGTGGCAGTCGGCAGGAATCCTAGGCAATTTTTTTATTTTTTCACACCATCTAGTGGTTGAAAATGAGAGATGCAGGTACTGACAGGGGAGAGATGTGTATGCATCCAAAATGGTGTCATAAATTCAGCTTCAGCTGAACCTAGCTGTGGCTTTATTGCCTTTCTATCATATGTCAGCCAGGAACATTACTCTTGAAAATCACATTTTGCTGATAAGGAAGTAAGTACGGGTATAGCCATGTTGTAGTAGGAAGGGTGAAGCATTAACAAAATATCGAGCATATTTGTGCAACATGTAATAGTTCTTTGTTTTACAGTGAAATATAAATGGTATAGCCTGCTCTGATGAACGTGATAAGATAGATATTCATCTCTCCCAGCAACAGTTATGCCAAAGCAATATATTTTTACCAGCTTTTCTCATGCCCGTATAGAAATCAGGGGGAAAGCATTATTTGTTTGCAAGAAATGCGATCATTAGTATAACAGAAGTAATTTTGAACTAGTTTAGCAAATTTCGGCATTTATAGAATTTAAATAAAGCAAGAGGAGCAATATGTTACATGTAAGTTTTTAGGTAAATGTCTTTTAGCCAAATGAGCATAGTTTCAGTTTGGCAGTGTTTACTTCCTAAAATAGCTAAGTATTACGCAAAGACAAATCCCCAAGATTTGCTTTTAAATGAGCATCAAAACTCAGTGTTATTGCAGTGAGCATGAGCTCATACTCTGACAAGCAAGATACCTATGCCCGACGAGTATAGTTACTGTAGAAAAGCATGTTTTTCTTGTTTTAAAGGTGTATTCAAAAACTATTTAAGCTACTTTATAAATATTTATGTCAGTTGTGGCTTTTGTGTGGCAGCAGTCCTCTGGGCTTTTACAAAAAACCCCCAAAGCCTCACAACTTCTTCCTAGGTTTTTCTATCAGGTTTCCCTCAAAAGTTGAGTTTTTAATGGGAGCAGAATTAACAGAACTATCACAATAGTACTTGTTAACTTTATTTAAAAACATAGTCAACATTTCAGATTATTTGATCAATGTATTTGTACAGATATACTCATATTATTACTAGTATTTTAATGTATAATATTCTTGAATATTCAAGTGTTTTTATCACTTATGCTGTGAATGTCATGTGAACTTTCAGAAAGCTATATACCCTTATTCCATGTTGTAATGAAAAAATATAGCTGTACTGAATAAAGAGACTTGTTAATAACATTTCTTAGTTAATATTGACTGTTAGAAATGCAATACTTTAATAACATTTCTTATTTAATATTGACTGTTAGAAATGCAATACTTTGTAGTCCTCTTTTCTAAAAGGATGATTGCTCTTAACTCCTGCTCATTTATGGGCTTGCCTTTGCTTTCAACCCTATGTGATAAATGGGAAAACAGACCATAGTATAGCAATCATTTTTATAAATCTACCATAGCTCTACTCAAGAAATCAATTTCCAGAAACAATGATAACTATGGATAGAGGTAGTTCTATTTTTTTCCTAAGTTTTGTATGCACAATTTATGTAAGTGCAACACTTGCATTACTTGTTCATTTGCTTTAGGTGTGTGTTTTGTGTTATGAAGTTCCATAACATGTTATGAGGTTCCAGTTTCAACAGCCAAATGCAAGTAATAGTGGAAATTTACCTCAATCTGTTAGTGGGAACCTGCTTAGTAGACTTACTGACATTTCTTCACATTAAACTAATTTAATATACTTCTTATTTATATTTGTGTTAAAATAGAAAATACTTTAAAATCAGAAATTATATCTTAAACTGGAATTCTTCTTGTTATTATTTCATTGCACACCAGTGGTGCTCAATCTGGTATTTATAATTCATGGAAACCTCATCTATGACAACCTTTTGCTCCAGAATTTCTCATGAAAGTAGAGTGTTAACTTGGTGCTTAGATTACCCTATATTCAGCAGTTGTAAGTTTCATGTGTGGCAGATTTTTGTTCTTTCAATACAATAAATGTTAAAATGCTCACATCTGAACCTGTATTTTTTGCCTAGTAAAAAAACAAAGAATCTCCACAGCTCAGGTTACTGCTTATGAAATAAAAGAACAACTTAACCATGCAGCTATTTCAGAATCACTGTGAACATTTAGTTCTCTATCTGTATAATCTTAATGAAATATATTTATTCAGTATTTTGTCTAAAAGATATGAAAGACACACTAAAATCCTGAGTGCTTTATTTTTTCAGGTTGTTTCTGGCTGATCATACTGAGATCCATAATTTCTATTCCATGGCCATACTGCCTATGGCTCCTCCTCTAGCAAACAGGGAGTACAACTAGGAGCAGATCTGCAGAATAAAACACTCAGTGCTTGAGCCCTGGTGTCCACACCACGTTTTTTCAAAGCTGTTGGATGTCCAAAGAGGTCTAGTCTGGTTTTTTGGAATGAGAACACATTAATGGTTGACGCATGTTAAAGTACATCTTTCATTTTAGCTTTATCTGAAATAAATGTAGTGCTCTGAGGCTGTGCGAAGGCAGCCAGTGGCTGGAAGGTGGGAGCTTTGGGAGATTCACTTCAGTGGGATGCTTCTGATCAAAACTAAAATGCAATACTCAGTTATACATTACTTCCTTCCTGGTTTGTTTAGTTTTGATCTTTATGGGTGGGGACAGGAGAACAGTAAGTATATGTCTAAAGACAATAGTGAAAGGCTTTAAACAGAAGTTTGGTTACAACTAGAGCCAAGTGACTCTAGCTTTGTTGATTTACATACAGATAATATGATAATATGTAAGCCTTTACCTATAAGATTAGAAGAAAAGTTGGCCACGTGTTATCTAATGGAAAATAAAATGGCCTTCCTATTGTTCCAGGGTGTTTTCTGGGGGCAGTTTTGGTTCAGAACTCAGTCTGCTTACAGTGATTTATATTGGAAGTCTTTAATTGCTGTATATTTTCTCTCACATCATTGTGGGAAATAAAACCTAATAATGCAACCATACAATAAATTTAGTGCTTATATTTTAAAGGATGACCACTTTATTGCTGTCTTAAAACAACTCTACTACCTGTGAAGAAGTCTCATTCAGTTATTTAAGACATTTGTCATTTTCTGCTTTTAGAGACTATGCTGTTCTGTGCCAGAACTGCTCCCTGGTTGATAGTGTATCATTCAACAATTACATCAAAGGAAGTTCTAAAACTTTTTAGCTTTTTATTAATTTTCTGGATGAATTGGAGATGTTCTAAAATATTATCTTGCTAAAATTGCACCCTAGAATGTTCTTTGCAAGAAATGTATCCCTGCTTCTGAATATATTTAGCTTGATAGTAGAGGTTACTTATTTTAACCCCAAACAAGGCTATAGGTACAATTTGCTTTTTAATGTTAAAGTTTGCAGGTATTCAGCCCATGAGTTAGTATTACTCACAGTGCCACTAGAAGAAGGAAGGAGAAAAGTCTTGAATTCACATACTTTGGTTGTGGTTTTTTAAAATACAACTCCGTTTTTTCCTTCAAGGCATTGAAACACAATGATATTTTTCAGCAACTCTTTTTTAAAACCAAACAAATAAAAAAGCTCACCCCACAAACATGAAAAAACAAACCATATGTATTCAACAATGGAAACTAATTGCACAAGAACTAGATGTTCTCAACTTTTGCTGAAGTCAGTAGAAGTTTATATGGTGCAAAGCCTCTGGAGAATCTCATATAGGCAGAGGAACTATTCTAAAGGTAGCAACTGCTTTGGAAATCCTCAAGTGTAAAAATTTTCTTTTTGTATGTCAAAATATCAAAATTCTCTTCTGTAGAGGACTAAAATCTTGGATTTAAATGATATCTGTAGAAAATAGGGAGTGTATTGCTAACTATTGCATTTTCCCCAAGTACAAAAGGTTTTATGATCAGTGTCTCATGAAGTCATGGGTACCTAGACATCAGTGCAGTGAAACGGTGGGATGGGAACAGGGAGAAGCATTTGCTCACAGTGTGTTCCACTGGGAGCATTTAAGGAGCCTGATGGGACTTTTATCCCTTGCTATCTAGCATGCTGTACAGAGTGTTTTGCCAGCATGTTAAATGTTAAATCATAACCTGTTCCTTATTGGCCTGTAAAATTACTTCACTTTGGTTAATAAATTTCTGCTGGGGAAAAAAAAAAAAAAAATCTATTCTATGCCAGTAGAAATGCAGAAATACCTTAGAAAGCATTTGGTAATTTGTTAAGGTTGTTGTTTCATATTATTTGGCATAATATATTCCACTGCCCTGGTGCTTGTCTTCCTGAGCGAGGGGGAGTTGTGGTGGCCCCCTCCTCCCTCCCTGGCCCTGCTAACATTGCCTGGTATGGCAAATGTGCTCCCTGTCACATGGCAGAGCGTGGCCGCACACTTGTGCATTCTCCTCATTGCAGGGCAGCTGGATCTGGCCCTGCCCCCCTCTCCCTATCCCTCCATTTGCCTTGGAGCAATTCATTTTGCAGTTATTGAATTTCTTTGGAGAGTTATTTTCATACAGCGAGCATCACAGCACCTCTGGATCTTGATAGCGTTTCTACATAAGGAGAAAGAAGCTTTGTGTTAGTAATTACCTAACATTGTCAGGAGCTGACTGCAGGCCTCTTTCTAGTGATAACAGAATAACCACATAATGTAGCTTTATAGCACATGATTAATAGAAAATAATTACACATCCTACAAAGGGATGCAATATTTCTTATAAATTGACTACAATGGTTTCCTGTAGATTAAAGGACTCTTCATTATTTTATCAGTCCTTCTGAAGTATAGTTGCTTGCCTATGTTAGCAGTGATATTAAGAGCTGAATGCAGTGAGGGATACCAGATGGTAAACCCAGTGGTACCTGAGATCTGAAGCTGATGCTTGCAAAAGCACAGTTTTTCCCAACTTTTTTTATTCTTATAAAACCCCTAAATGTATTCATATCCTTCTGTATATTAATCCTTATTTTCCACAAATGTGGACTGCAGACTTTTATTCTACACATCTTAAGCAGCAGTGATGGACATACAGACCTCACAACAGCAGTGTATTAATGAAATTATATTGCTGCAATGGAGTTTATAATTGATAACATTAATAGAAACAATATATCAATTTGGGTTTTATGTGTGACTTCAAGAAAGGACTAGGGGGGCTGCTTATCTGCCTCACTAGTTAAGCGCTCGTTCATGTTACTGAGGGTAGGAAGGAGGGGTTATGATTTTTAAAGAGAAATGTCTGTATTTAAATCAGTTTAAAAGTGAGTGCTATCTAATTATTCTAAAACCAGATATTAAGGTTTTATGTTCTTGGTAGCCAGATATCTGCATTATATTTTTGTTCAGACTTCTATAGACTGCAGATAGTTTAATTGGGATTCATCTTGCTCTTGAGACCCATGCAAAGAATAGTAATGTAAAGTAAAAACTTCTGTGTTGCAGTATTGTCTGTATGGTATAATGGTTGCAGTGAATCCTTAAATTAGTTTACTAGTTTGTTACATCAACATTCATTTCATCTTCTCACTTAGCTTCGTGCCAGAGCAGTAAGTGGTATATTAATAAGTAGTAAAACCCAGAAAGTTTTCAAAACAGCAGCATGCTTTTAATTTTAATTTGAGTAATCTGAATTATTTCTTTAAAAACAATTGTTTCCAAGTCCATGTAGTGTTGCTAAGTGGAACATTTTCAATGGATAATGTAATCCACAGTCTTTTTCTGTGCCATTTGTCATATGCAGTTTAATGACTGCTTAACTGAGCCACTTCCCTCATTTCATGTATTGTTTGTTTTTTTGGCTGATGTCTAGCAAAACTTGCTTAATCACTCTTGTCAGTCACTGTGCGAATTCCGTGTAGCAGCTTAAAATCTTTTGTTGCTTTCTCTTGGAGAGATTTATTGCTGAGATTCCAGTAGTATACGTGAGTGCTGCTCCTTTCAGCAATTTCCCGCTTCAGTCTTGAAATCTATTTGTATATTTAAGCAGTGTATTGTGAGATAAAGTATAGATTTTAAAACAGGCTGATCTGGAAGATTATAAACCTTAGTGTCAGGGTATTGTTTTGCCTTTAAGTATTTGGGGTGTAATGTGAAGCCTCATGGGAAAGGTTATTGACTTGTGTGGAGAGCAGTGTGTACTGAAGATCAGGTTCAGATACCTCTAGACTTTCAAGACCAAACCCATCCCCAACAGTCTGCTTTGCAGTGGAAGGGGGAAGAAGGTGGAATTATTTTTGCAGCTTTCTTGTTTGCATGTTCACATAATAAATGAAGGTTTTCCTGCCGTTTTTTAAGTGGATTTCCCTTTAAGTCACGCTTACTGCAGTGCTTCATGCATAGTAGGATAGAATCTTTTACATTTCCAATTCATTGTTAAACGAAGGAAGAAAATGTTTAATTGAAGACTAATGTTCACCTTTCCACAATCAGGAAATACAAAACTGTGTGTGCTTGCATACAAAAATTAAAAAAAAAAAAAAAAAAAAAAAAAAAAGGCAATGAAAAAACGCCCCTATGAAAGTGGGCCATCATAGTTAAGCACAGAGAGGGCTGAGTACACTAAGCACCTCATAGGACCCCAGAGAACTCTTGACCAGGCTAAATATTCCAGCAGAAAATCATTATAGCCCGTGCTCTAATGAAATGCCATTAACCCTTAAGCTCCATTTGGCTATTTATAACAAAAAAACTTTACTACAGTTCAAAATAGTAGCTTCATCTCAGTAGAACCAGTAATTCAAAATTCTAGAGCCTTTTCCTCTTCTCATCAGAAGAGCAGTGTAACAGGAAGCAGATGCTGCTTATCAGAGATATCTGTGTATTTTTTATTTTGCATATTTGTTCCAAAGTAATTTCTATCTTGCTAATCATTCAGTTTTGAGTATGATCTCTGTTTAATATTGCTTAATTTGTAACTGAATATATGTGTGCATGGAATTCGAGCTGTTACAATTTATTGAACCATTGTTAGAATTGATTCTAAAAATATCTCATAGGAAAAAAAAGTAAATTATATACAATAATTACATATCAGTATTACATTATTTTATTTTTACAATAATTATATACCACAATACCACAAAACTCTTACTTAGGACTGCTTTTGGAAGATGTTATTTCTTTAAATTATTGTAATTCATTTTGTTTCATATTTATCTTTCTAAGCCTAAACATATTTGAAACAGGAGTGCATTAGTCATCTGTCAGGAATATCTGCTGTAGAATTTTCTGCAAGCCTAAAGCAATAGTAGACTTTGTCCATAGAAAGATATTATGTATTAGATCTATAGTGTTCCTTTCATATTTGAGTGAATTAGTTTTTAAAATAAGTTGATGGTAAGTTTCTTAGAGTTTAGTTTGTGATATGAAAATGATCCCTGTTGATTGTTATATGTCAATGTTATGCTATTAGATTTTAGTTACAAAGACAAGGGTTTTGTATTTTTGATGAACAGAGGATAAGGAAGTCGGCTGTTTTTAGTAGGTGTTAGAGAAGCATGGCTATAATTAAGACATTTCCTTGAATACTCCTGGCTTTTTTAAAATTTACCTTCTGCCTTTGCTTAACTGCATGTGAATGCCTATAACAAAAAGATAAAATGTTTTAATTTTCAGTTGAAATTATTATAACTGTATATAGGAGAAAACATCCATAAGGAGTTGCATACAAAACTCTATTGCATTTATATCAGACTAAAGGTTAATTCTGCGTATTGTTTTCAATTAGGAGTACAATAGATTTGGCTGGTGGGTAGGAGAAATGAAGGGAACCATTGGCTTGGTGCCTAAAGCCTACATAATGGAGATGTATGATATTTGAGAGGCCTGGGTAAGTACATTTTAATCCAATCTTCTGTAATGGCTTATATGTTCCCTTGTTCTCTGTTTCATAAGTATGTCTTTCCTGGAACCTTTATAGGAGTCCTGTTAACATAAAGATTATGGCAAAATATATTGAAGGTTCAATTAAAGTACATTTTTTTCTAGGGTTCTATATGAAATATTAAACCACAGGGTACAAAAGATTATATATTTAATAACTGTGTTCCTTTTTCTATATTTTTTTAAAAATAGAATTGATGTTGTTTCTATTTAGTTTTGTTACTTTAGTAATATGTATATATCTGTCTGTGCAGAAAACTGTGAAGGGGATGGATATTTGGACAGGTTTGATATGCATGTTTGAGGGTTTTTTTGGTTAATGATGAACTTTCAACTTCACTCTCCCTAATCAGGAGAAATCTGCACTTGAAATGAAGAGTGGCGTGCAGCTGCAGTTTACAGACCCAGCCTCTGGAAGAAGATTCTGCTGTATGTGTTTTGCGGTTTCAGCGAATGTAGTCAGATCGTTGCCTCGTGTATATTAAACATTATAAACTGTAATTGATCATAACTTTATGGAAATGTTCTTTTTAGCCACTTTTTATACAATTGTAATGCCAGGAAATTAATAGATGGTAATTAACATACGGGGCACAAGCAGCCATATAGTGCCTGTTGCTCTTTTTTTAACATGCTAGCAGCACTCTGTATAGCTGTAGGTTTGTGTTCTCTCAGGGAATTTTGCTATCTTTTCCTATTTTGAAGATTCAGAAAAATTAAGCAGAGCTTTGAGGGTAAACTACTGCATGCATTAACCTTTTAATGCTCACTGTACAGCTTGTGCAGAAAGTTGAAGGAAATTTATGTATAATTTTTCAAGTCTTGGAAACAGACGTTTTTAAGTTATGCTTTAGCCAATGATGTATTTTACTCATATATTTAGTATTGTATTGTTAATTACTATTTTGTTGACACACAATGAAGACTTGATTATTTTGCTGGTGTAATAATGGGCCTGTGTGGTAATACTGCCCTGGTACCATTCTGACTTGGACAAGGTAATTATATGAAAATTTGTGAAAATATATTAAATCCTACAATTTTTGTTAAGTCAACACAAGCTAAATTGCTGGTAAAAATATTTTTGTCCATGGTAGTGTGGAATATTTATCTGTACCTTACAGACACTTCTGCAGAGTCAAATCTGGATACCTTGCTGGTATGTGGAATTCTGATATAGGTTACGCAACAGAGATCTTCATCTTTACCCTGTATGGATTAGCAACAGCTACCTGCATTCTTGTGTCATAGCCAGACCTTTGGCTAATCAAAAACATTGATTGAAACATAAAAAAGTACACTAAAATACTACCACTTGTGGACAAGTGGTTGGGCAAGTCAGAGTTAAAACTTTACATACTCTTCTTTTGGACATGTACTTTACCATTAGCATGCAAGATCAACTTTTTGGGTCCTCCCAGACAGTTGATTTGCGAGACCCTTAATCTGCCAACGAGGCAGGTCAGGCCAGGCTGTGAGTTGCTGAGCCTGTGCAGGTCCCTGTGTAGTTGCTTGTGCTGTTTATGCTTACAGGCAGACCCCACGAACATGTGGGTTAAAAGGAAACGTTAGTCTGAACTTGGAATTTGGATCCTTTCAGTGAATTAAGATGTTGTGCTGTGTGTTAGCTAATGTATGGTACTTGCTGGTACACTGAATTCTAATAGGCGTCAAACGGGACCGAGTTTTGTTGTAATTTTTTAAAGAGATAGTCATTGGAATTGATTCTATGTGTTATCAGCGAAGCATTAAAATGATAGATTATAGTCTTCAGATCTTTTACTACTTTAATTTGTCAAGTGTACTGGTGGATTGTGTACAGAATGTGAAGCGTTAATAGCGGGGCTGGAAACGCTCCTTCTCCCTTGTTAACATGGCAGCGCCATAAATCTGCCCACCGAAATAGTTTTTTATTAATCACAGAATTCCGAATCCCACCACCGGCACCATGTACTTTTTAGGGAATGAGCCCTCCCCCGCTCCTGAGGCGCGGGGGGGCGGCGCGGCCCCTGCGCTGCGCGGGCGCGGCGCTGGGGGGCAGCAGATTTTCGTGGGACGGGCGGGGGCGGTCCCGCTGCCGGCCCGCGCCCCTTCCCCCTGCGCGCCCTCCCGGCCGCTTCTGCTCTTCTTCCAGGAGAGGGAGTCCTCACCCAAGCGATGGGCGCAGAGCTGCCCGGCGCGGCCTCTTCTGGGCGGCGACAACCGGAGACAGCAAGTGGCTTTTGTCTGTAGTTCTCTTTTAGGGCTTCCCCCTTTTCATACTTACTGCTAGGGGAGAGTAAATAAACTGCCTTAAGTTCAAAACGTGAAAGATGTCCTGAAACTCATTGGTAATGTCTCAGAAAAAAAAACAGCGATGGACCACGGATGAACGGTTTACTTTAAATCTGTGTGAATACCATAACCTTTTTTGGATAAGGAAATTTCAGTCAATACAACTTAAACGAAACTCAGGTAGAAGATGATAATAGCTTAATTTTCTTTGTTCACTTAGATTGTGCTTGCCTTTCTGTGAACGATGAGAGAGCAGATTTTTAAAAGCTGATTGTAACTCTCACATTGTACGGTGTTTTACTTGATTATTTGCTGTGTTCTGGATTTGTATGGTACTGCCATTAGATCTTATAATAATGTTCTACTCTGCAAATTTTTAAGGTTCAAATAAAGTTTAATTGTTTGCAAACTGTTATGATGCTAATAATTCAACAGCCTGCTGTGTTACTAATGAAATTACTTTGTTATGATTAATTTGGAAAATAGTGTGTTGATTGTAGTAATTAAGCACAACAAGGTGAAGTAAATGATTCTAATGCCATCTGGCCTCCAGACTGAATGAAGAAATGAAATGGGGCTGTCATTTGAATTTATTCAGAGAAGTAAGGGTAATACAAATGCTTTTTATAGTAGAGGCACCCGGATATAATCATGCCACTCTGTAGTATCTTTTCATGTGCTGCTGTATACGGTTAACTGGCTCACATATTTTTGCAGCATCTCGTTAGGATATACCTCTTTGTGCATACTGCCACCAATTACATGTACTGATGGCCGTGCATGCACTGGTTCTTCTACCAGAAAGATGTATGGATAAGATTAGAGAAGTGATATGGCTCAGCTTACCTTTTGCTCCCCTATTAAGGATAAAAACTTTCTGTGACTGGAATTAAGCTGAAAGTGAATGCTAATTAAGATCCCATTCTAAATTCAAAGCTAAATGCATAAACTTCTTTCCCTTTTTTTGACTGCAGTCTGTGTGACACAGTATTAGAAGAAACGTAAAGAATAACCCTTTAGAACCTGATCCAAAGACTGTTGAAACTGAGAAGCTATTGAATTCACTTGCTTTTGCATCAGGATCTCAAACAGTAACTCAAGAACAGGCAATACAGTTTCAAAGGGCTTTTTTCGCTAAATACTCTTTGTCCTCTTTCTGAAAGAGATGCAATTATTTCCATAAGGTGAACCAAACCAAAGAACAGCCCTTATTTCTCTAAGCCAAATAACAGAAATCCATTTTTCTATCTCAGGTAAAGCAAAATGAAGTTGTGGGTGTAAATTAGAATCCTGGCTTGATACAGGTCAGTGGGATCTATAGCAAAGCTGTAAAATATTAATATGTGGTGAAAGTATCCAGGCAGATGACAGAGGTATGCTCTTCAGTTGCATGAGCAATTTCAAGTTTCTCTCATCTCTCGCTCAAAGCTGATGAAAAATATGTTAGTATGTAATTGTGGGAATAAGCATATGCATGGAAACCTCATAAACAACTTTACATAGCATAAAGTACTGATAAACTCTCTTAAGATCTTCACCTACCAGGGTTTCTCTGAAGCTGATATTTCCCAGACAGGAGTCTGCTTAATTCCATCTTTATTTAGGAAATCTGACACTAAGCTCAGCAAGGAGTGCTCTGCCAAATCTGCATCTCTGTCTTAGAGTTCATTTTCTGCCCAACATCCATAGTCTTACTGTGAGGGGCCAGCACCAATCAGCTTCACCTTATGAACTTAAAATTGTGGATTCAAGCTGGGTGTAAGCACAGGATTTGGTACTTCTGGGATGCAATTGTGACTTGACTCATCTTTCCATCCTACAGGAAGAAGTAAAAGGGGTTTAGATGGTGGCAGGATGTGCAAGTGAAAGAGATGCAGCTTTTCTTATCCAGCTATGTTGTGCTAAGGAATATATATGTTTATTTTCCCTTTAATTGTAAAGCAGATCAGGCAGTGATAATCCATGAATTGTTATATTATAGCCTTTTAGAGATTTGTTTAGAAGTTATTTTGTAATGGGATCTAGACAATTGTTTCTTCTTGTCGTAAATTGTCATTAGTCCCAACTATCACACGGAGAAATTCATAGAAGTTCAGTTGCTGGGTTCAAAGCAGAGGAAAATCTTCTGCACCTGAAAGCTATATTAACATAAGTCAAATTTAAAACTGAAACTGTCAGCTTCTTCACAGCTTTTTGGGAGGACAGGTCTTTTAATTAACAGGAAAAGCTTAAAAATCCAAGGTGTCATCTTGTAGCAGTGTGTTGGAGAATAAAGTACAATAATGCAGGCAGTCTGAGAAGAAGAGCTGCTGGTAGATGAAGAGGCAGATAGTTTCAAATGCCACTAAACCCCAATCTATCTCTATTAATTTTCTGCTCTAGCAAACTGATATGTTGGAGCTTTTATCCTAAAGTATCCTCACTGTCTGAACCCATAGAGCAAACTTCCTTTCACCCTCTATTGTAAAGCAAGTGCTACTCCATTAAAAGATTTGTTGGCTAATGAGCATTTTACAGCAACACTTTAAAGTTTATGCTGTGAGATGAAAAAAAAAAAAAATTCCACATTCAGTTACAGTGGGAGGATTTATGTTGGCAGAAGAGAATTACCAGTTTGGCCACTTCCAATCTGCTGTAATTGCTTCCATACTTGTAAATAGTGCTGTGGGATTTTTAATGGCCGCAGCAATAAGGACTTTAGTTTTACACCTCATGCTACAAGACGAGTATGTAGCACCCCAGAACTGACCCCTGTGCAGAACTGCCTGGGATAAAGGAATAAAGTACTGCACAGGATCATTATCCATCTTTGAAAAGCCAGCAGCATGGATGTGTGCCTTGGCAGCATCCCACCCAAGAGTTGACATGGCCTGATGCTGCTTTTTAATAGTCAAATCTAATAGGGTCAGCATGAGAAGAGCAGAGCACAGACAGTCTGACAGGCATGGGCAACTCAGTTTGTTCATTGGTGTTCTTCAGCCTCTCAGACTTATTTCAGTGTGGAAGAGAAAAGATGAAATCTGTAAACAGTCACATGGCATCAGGAAAGCATCTTCCTTTTCTGTTGCTCTCTTCCGAGAGGACTGCCGTTCTTGCCTTATATTTAAATTAAAAGCAGTCAGGCATGAATGCACATGGGTGTGTAGGAAGGAGTGGGTTTTATTATATCATCACTTAAAATCTTGTTTTGATGCTGGTTTCCCTTTGTGGTGTTTACAATGACATGCTCATAATGGCCACACTACCTTTTCCACAGAAAAAAGGTATTTCTAGCTTTAAAAAAAAAACCCAACTATTTACAATTCTTGAAAGGCTCTATTTATTAGCTCCTCTTTTGTTATTTCCCACCATTTTAGTGCATTCTTTCAGCAGTAACTTACCAAATATGTGTCTTTTGTGACAGTGATTTTTTGCTTGCATGTAAAATATTCCAGACAAATGTTTTGAAACTTATTTTCTTATCTTCAAGTTGATTTTGGACTTAATTTTAGGGTGTTAAACCTCAATGAAAGGGGAAGGAGTGAATAATCTGTACATCTAGAGTTCTGTTACTTGACCAAAAAATAGGCAATCTGCATTAGCAGTTGTGAGAAATGCCTTGGAAGATCTCTAAACTAACTGGCTTCCTTTCCATTAATTTGTTTCTGATTCTGAGAGTCACACAGTATCCCGAACAACTTCCAGACTGAGACTAGCTATTCAGCTACTTGCTGTCCTGTGGTAGCCACCCAAAGTCACTTGTAGGTCATTATTGACTTATGACCAGAAGTCCCTCCCTCTAATGTATTTGTTACTGCTTTAAAGGCAGAACAAACTTCTTGTCTCCTGAGCTTTGTAAATTTTCAGGTGAGTGAAAGTTCAAAATGCAGAGGCATCATCCAGAATAATCTCTCTCACTAAGCCATGTTTATAATCAGTATTTCTCTGAATACTTTGTCTTGACTTCACTCCTGCATTCATTTACTTTAAAAAATAGTGAAGAGGAGAACATGTACCTTGATATTTCTTCATAAAACATCAGGTTTTGACAGAATTGGGTCAAATTCATGTTTCAGGTGCTGATTATGTGAATGCTACTTGAGAGTGGTAACCTGAATCCATACAGTGGTGGTTTCTGTCAGGCTTTGGCAGGTGGAGGAGAACAAACATGTCTGGCCCTTAGCTGAAAACTGAGCTTAACTTATCTATGTCTGATATTATCTTAGGCCCTTCAGCTGCACTGTTGCTTCTGAGCATCTCTAATAGATTCAATGAGCTAGAAATTTATGCAGGTGTTTGTCCATCAGGTGTGGACCGGGGTTTTGAATCTGCCTGATCTGACAGAATGGCATACAAAACCGTGATGTGATACGCTCCCATTTGTGGGTTCGCAGACTAGCTGATGATTCCAAGAAGCACATGTGGACCACAAAGGGATTTCATCATGCCTGTTTCATTAAATGGTAATGATAATGTGTTTCAGTGAAATTCTATTTTGCACATTCTGGCTTATGTAAAGAAGGCCTTCATGCAAAATATCCTTGCTTAGATGTCATAACATCTGAAACATGGGGAATATGTGTTAGAGTAATTCAGTCTAAAACTGACCAGGGTGACTCACAGAGATCACAGAACAGAGTAGGGAGCAGCTACTGAGGGCACGTATATTTCATTTGGTAAACAGAGTTTGATTATGAATTAATTGTAATAATGCAGACAATTATTTCAATAACTTTGTCTAGCCAGCAGCAATAATAGACATACTGTTTGTTAAATGTATTAACTGAAATTGCAGTAGCTATTCCGACTACATTCATCATAATACTTGGTAGTGTATGTCCTTCCCTTGTCTGTGGGCTTGTGAGTGTCCTGCTCATCCTGAGTGGTATTACAGAAAAAAAATTGAAATGTAGGCAGTTGTCAATAACACAAACGTCTTCTGTGTTTTCCACTGTCTGCTTCTTGAAAACAGTCAGTTCTGCATGTATAGTCTGAAACAAGGGAATTTAGCCATGTGACTCTCCCCTTAACTCAGCAAATGTTATGTAGGTAATTCTTAATTTGAGGGCGCAATATTAATTTCTCATTAACAAGAGTAAGCATTAGTCACATAGTTCCCTTGGCTTTATTGCAACTGCTCCTGCAACTTCTTACTCATGAGATGCTGGATTTAGAATCAAGTTGTTAATATTATTGAAAATTATTTTTTATAGTTTAAAGTATAGTGCTAACCATCAGTTAACCGTCCTGATACAGGGTGCCAATTTATCTATGCAGTGGTACTTTATGTTCAAAATCACTCTGTACCAGGCACTTTAACAAGTACAGGGAATATTAGGAACACAAAACGAATGGCTTTGGTGATTTTGATCTCCAGAGAAGATCTCCTTGGCATAAGATAGTTCTCATAACCAGATGGAAGTATTTTAC